AATGCTGAGCAGCCCCCCTTTGGCTCCAGGTAGCCGCGGACCTCCATTTCATCTCCTTCATCTCACAATAAATACTCCAGGTTTCTGACGGACGAAGCCCAAGTTTGGAGCAAAAACGCATGGGATCACGTACCTCCGCCCACCGACCAAGTTGAACGGATAGCCGCGTCCCTGGTTAAGCAGCGAATTGCACCTGTGTTAGAGGCCGACAAGCCGAAGTACAACGACAAGCCCGCCCGGCATTGGTCGGTCTTCCTCCGTGTCCTATGTCGAAGGACAGAAGATTCACGCTGCGTTGAACAGGGACAACTTTTACAAGGACCACTCCAGCAACTTCTTTCGGGATCGAAAATGGCGTGTACCAGTCAGTGTGTGGACCGAGCACACATCGCTAATTTTCCTACAGGTTGCACAACGAGTTCCCAGAGCTCGTAAACGCGGCGAAGCCAGAGGTGCGCGGGGGTCCGAATATTTGCAACTGAGATAGCTGATCGAATGACGACCAGGCCGGCCCTATGACGATCGTCGAAGTCGGGTGTGGTGAGTGCGCGCGTGCTTCGAGTCGGAGATGCATACAAACTCCCCCCAAGGTGCCGGAAACGCTGTCTTCCCCCTGCTCTCTGCCAATCTCAATCCAGAGCTAACGCTGTGCGCCTACGATTATTCCAGCCACGCCGTCAAGCTCGTGCAGGTAGGATCTCTCCTTCACCCTTCTTGTTCTGCATTGACAGCGTGCAGCAAAACCCCCTGTACGCCGCTCCGCCAATGGGCACAATCAAAGCCGCTGTGTGGGACCTCACGTCGCATTCTCTACCGGACGGGTTTGAGCCCGGGAGCGCCGACATTGTAGTCATGGTGTTCGTATTCAGCGCCCTGCACCCTAGTGAATGGGCCAGAGCAGTGGCGAATGTACACAAGGTCCGTATCGCCCTATTTTGCTTAAGTATCCCCTGAGCGATAGCCCAGATGCTCAAGCCCGGCGGCCTCGTCGTCTTCCGTGACTACGGCCGCTATGATATGGCTCAGCTGCGGTTCAAAGCAGGCCGGCTGCTGGACGAAAATTTCTATATCCGTGGCGACAAGACGCGCGTGTATTTCTTTGAGCTGGGTAATATGCTTCTGCCTCTTTTTGTACTTACTTATACACGATCTTCAGATGAACTGTCGCTATTGTTCACAGGCGCCCGTGCTCAGCCTTCGCAGCAGGCGAATATCGTAACTGAAGTCGTCGAAGAAGAATCGGAGGACGGCACGCCGGATCCTGTATCCGACGCAGCGTCTGTGCCCGACCACGACTCTGACGCAGTGAACCCCGAGCCCCCACAGATCCATCCAAGCCTGCTATCCTCCCCTCCGCCCCCGTTGTTTGCGACGGAACAGCTCGGGGTAGACAGACGCTTACTCCTCAATCGAAAACGCCAGCTCAAGATGTACCGCGTCTGGATGCAGGCGAAGTTCCGGAAACTCAATAATGTAGACATAGACTTAGAGAGCAACAATGCAAGTTGATATTTCCAGTCGCAACAAACCAATGAGTAAGAGGAGCGAGCGAGTTAATTGTTGGGTGGATGCCAGAGAGTGGTCAGGATCCTGTATCCAACAACACAGCGTCTGCCAGACCACGCAACGCCGCCAGTAAATTCCGAGCCTCATCCATCCAAGTCTGCTATCCTGCTATCCGCCCCCGCTGTTTGCGACAGAACAGCTTGGGGTAGACAGACGCTTACTCCTCAACCGAAAACGCTACCGCGTCTGGATGCAGACAAAGTTCCTAAAACTCAATAATGTAGACATAGACTTCGAGAGCAACAATGCAAGTTGATATTTCAGTCGCACACCAAGGATAACAACAACAAACCAACGAGCAGGAGAGATGATACGAGGCACGAACTCGTGGACTAGATAGCGGTGCAAGAGATTCTGGGGAAGGGCGTCAGCCATCACAACCAGGACCTACTTCCATAACGCCGCCTACACAAATGAAACGAATACGGGTAGAGCGAGCGGGCACTCACTATCACGCGGGTGGGGGCGGCGGGGGCGGCTGCGTCGGAGCGGCGGGCGCTGCGGCAGCCTGCGTGGCGTAGTACTGGCTGTACTGCTGTTGCTGCGTCGCCGCCCATTCCTTGAACTGCTCCGAATTGACGTCGTAGCCGTATGCAGCCCTGTAACGACGGATCAGCGACGTGGGAACGGCACTAACGATGGGCGCACCAATATGCGGCGTAGGCGGCCGGGTCGGTGGCAGCTGACGGGGCAGCGCCGCCATCGGGCGGCGGCGGGGGTTGCTCACCCGGGGGTGGCGGGGGCTGCTCGCCCGATGGCGGCGGCGGCGCAGGGTATCCCTGGGGAAGTCAGCAAGTGCGTTAGCTCCATAAAATGCAGCGGCCCGTCTAGTATCAGAAAGCAAGAAGACGGAAGAAGACCTACCGATGCCATGGCGGTATACGCGGCATACTGCATCTGGGCTTGCCGGAGCTCCATCTGTTCCTGCTGGGCCGCAACCGCGACCTTGGCGTGCTCTGAGCGCACCACTAACAGGAGGTCTTCGGTCAGCACTTTGGCGCGCGCGACCTGGCCTTCCTCGGGGCCGCTGGGGGGATGTGAGAAATAGCAGACATGGTTGGATTGAGAGACATACGTGATGTGGATGTATAGCGGCTCGTCGCTTTCGCGTCCAGTGGCCTGATCGACGAAGCCCGAGCCGATGCCTTTAATCTGGACTCGGGTTTGCGTTTCTTGCTGGATGTATTTGACGAAGGATCCCTGCAATGCATATGGGCTTAGAAGGTACCATGCAGATAGTAGACTGAGTCCGTACACTTGGCCCGACCACCTTGGCACGGATATTGAAGTTGCGGACGCTCTCTAACCCGACCGGAAGCTTTTCCTCGGGCCATTGACGCTGCGATGCAGGTTGGTATTGGAACACGATGAGCGGTCTAGAACACACCTTTTCCTTCTTCTTGTCTTCCACGAGGCTCCCCATGTCGATGGCAATGTATTCATTGATCGTGTCGATTGTTTTCTTGAGAATTTCGGCCGACCTGGCGGTGACATGGAGATACAGTGGTGGGTCCTTTTCCGTCGCCTTGCTGCGGTCAGGATACCAGACGCCCTTTGTGCTGACGGAGCCGCCCGCCTCCTCTCGGATCTGCGTTTAGAGTCATATGTCTGGGATCCGAGGTGAAAGTAGGAAAGGAGACCGCACCTGCTGCTGCGTGGATGCCTTTGTGAGCATGTATCGATTCCGGACGTCGTTTATGTCTATGTCCTGGGAGAAGGCCTCTTCCGCGGCCAAGTCGCCGAACTGTGCTGCGATTTTTGAGGCGATTGCGGCTGCGCGCGCTGCTGCCTCCAGCGCGTCAGCACTCAGTTCCGGCTTCTTGGGTTCTGATCCCTCTTTTGCATCCTTTCCGTCGGGTTTGGCCTGGTCCCACTTGCGCTTTTTGCTGGGTTCCGCCGTTGTAGGTGCTGTAGACATGAGAGTTAGGACTCAGAGGTGTGTCACAGCGTGACAGTCGTACCTTTCCTTTACACCGCGTCGAAATGTCCTTCAAACGCCATAGGGCGCAGTCAGAGGCCTCGTCGTCGTCGTCAACATCGTCTATACGCTCTCAGCCAACGTCAAAGGCCCAACGGACAACGCCGGGCCCAGAAGCATCGTCGTCGGCTCACCCGCTTCTCTGCACGCTGCCTCCTACTTGCAATCACAATCCAACGCCGCTTGCAACTGCAAAGGATCTGGAGACGCACTACGCGACCTATCATGCTCACGTCTGCGAGGAGCACACATGCAACTGCGTGTTTCCCGAAGCGCGCCTGCTCGAAATCGTCAGTCGTCCTCGTTGTGCCGTTCCGAACACATTCGAACGCGTATCTTAGCATCAAACAGAATGCCACGACCCGCTCGCTGCTGTGCGCCGAGATAGAGGTGAGAAAATTGTGCGTGCTATTTAATACCACGGTTCGCGCTGTCGTTGATGGCATTATTACAACTAGTTTGCGTGCCACCTCGCCTCTTGCGGGCGGATGTTTCTCACACCCAAGGCGAGACGACTGCATCTCATCCAAGGGCACGGGTATCCAAAAGAATACTATTTCGCTGTCACGAACAAGGGCGTCGGCGGGCTCTTGAAGCGGTGGGGCGAAGGCGCCAGTCTGATGCGCGGCCAGTGGAAGCCCCGGGAAACTACTGCCAACACAAAACAGGATACAACTCACGCTCGACCGGACGTGCTGGTCGAGGAAGACGACGACGAAGACGAGCTGGATGCAAATAACGACGGCACGCGCGCGGGCGAAGGCGTCGACTCGCTGGCGGACTCGCTCAACTCCATGTCTCTCGTTCCCCCAACCATTCGGTTTGGGCGCGGCGGCAAGAACGGCGGCTTTGTGCACGACCCGCACGCCCGGAATCCGCGCGGTGGGCGTGGGCAGCATGGGAGAGGGCGCGGCGCACCGCGAACCACGGGTGAGCAGGGGGATACACCCACGAATCCGGAGGCTCTAGCGCCTGTACCTCGTGGTGGCCGCGGGAGAGACAGAGGGCGCGGCGCAGCGCGCGCTGCCCATATCAGTGAGGATCATGACATGGATGTGGACGTGGGGTCTGTGCCCCGTGGTGGTGGTAGTGCGGGGCGAGGCACCACGCATACTGCAGAGCCGTCCACTATCGACGTGCTTGGATACGTGCCTCGAGGTGTGCGCGCGAGGGGCCTTCGGGGCGCCCCGCGCGGAAAGGCCAATGCAAATACGAGCGGTGTACCAGAATTCGGGAGGGTTTAAATTTCTTACCTTGCATCATTTTCTGATTGCTGCTTAGTTGTAGTACGAATTCGTGTATATCCTTAAGGAAAGTCGAGTCCGTGATGAAAATATCGGTTCAAAGTTATCGAGACCTGACTAATTTCTCCTTTCATCCTCTTTGCAAACCGGTCAAAGCGATAAATCGCATAATAAACGTAATGCATGATTCATTTAATGTGCGTTCTGAATATGGCTCAGTGGCGGAGTGGTCCGCATCTGTAGGAAATAACTCAACATGCGTTTCTCTGAGTTAGCAGAACAACGTTTGTTCGAATCAAGCCTGAGCCGTGAACTGCGAAGTTCATTTTTTTCCCCTTGTAACATGCATTTATTCTTGTAATTTGGTTCATTCCTACTTACATCGAGCTTTACATCATTCCCCACTGGCGGTGTACGTACAGTATTCAAGTTCTAGCTAAGTTTTAGCACTCAGATTAATGTTGCCGCGACTCCAGACTTGAGCCGACGAAGTCGACTTGGAGTCGCTGATTTAGGCCGAGTCGAGTCGAGTCACTTTATTGACTCAAGTCGACTTGAGTCGACTTCGAGTCGGTCACAACCTAGTTGCACGATTCGTCGAAAAAACACGATTGGGGACAAATTGGGGACATGGTCGAATTTTGTGACAAGCGTGACAGAGTCACGCTTGGTGACATTGCCGTGACAGCCGAAAAAAAAAAAATCCCTTTTGTGTTTTTTCAACCCGCAGAGTACTTAGAACGAGTTTCTGAAAATTCATTCAAGAAAAGTCGACTCAAGTCAACTTGCTCGACTCGACTTGATTCGAAATCGGCTTAGGCCGACTTGACTTGGAGCGACTCGACTTTCCGAGTCGTGGCAACATTAACTCAGATTTTGGTTCAACTTCACCACCACTGATTTTTTTGGGCAGAAAAATCGATGAGTCTTTCTATGAATAGGCTTCAGTGGTGTGCACTCGACAATTTACTGAGAGCTAAGAGCTGCAGTGGATACTTACCGCATTCTACTAGTACTGTATTCTGAGGTTGAACTTGGAAAACATGTGAATATCATGCCATCGGCGATCACCGACTCCGACTTTTTCCTCTTTCTCACCTTCACGCTTTTTGGTCCTAGCATTATCCTTTATGGCGTCCGCGCTTCCCGCTCCAATCCTGGACCACATTTTTGCGTATATCGCGGATTCAAAACCCAGGAAACGCAGGGCGGGATATACGTATGAAGCAGGCTCGGACGACGAAGAGGAAGATTCAGACGGTGACGAAGAAGAAGACTACTCAGACGACGATGAAGAAGAGGATTACTCAGACGACGACGACGACGAAGAGGACTATTCAGATGAAGACGATGAAGAGGACTACGACAATTACAGCGACGAAAGTCGCGTTGGTTTTGGCAGCGACCGCGGTGACCCGCCGATGAACATCAAGGACTTCGTGTTTCTGCCCACTTACACTCTCCGCCCGTTGCTCTTCGTGAACAAACACTGGCGGGATATCGCCGAGCGGCGGCTCTACGCGTCGATTTCTGTTGGGTCGGATTCAGACGACGACCGTGTGTGCGGCGCCGACCAAGCGGTCGCGCTTGCGGGCACGCTGCAGCAGCACCCGGAGCTCGCGGGGATGGTGCGGGAGGTCCGGCTGGCGACGATAGATTGCAAGAAGACGGAGACCGTCGCGCATTCCCAGATCCTCGCGGCCTGCACACTTGCCAATAAGGTCACCATCATGGGGTATAACGGATACGTGCTTGAGGAGTTGACGGCTGCTCTCAAGGGCCTGAAATATCTCAGGTCGTTGACTGTCTCTCGGTGAGCGCATTTTTTTTACGAACTCCGAGGCACCGGACATTCCTCACCCCCCGCGTTACTGTAGGACCAATCTGAGGGACCAGGAATGCGATGGCTTCTGTTCTCTCGACGAGCTTTTTGGCATGATGATGGGCTGGCCCGACCTTGAATCCGTTCTTTTCCACAATAATACCACTTCGTTCGACAGTCTCGAGTGGCCGGACGAGAGTGAGGCTCCGGTGGCAGAGTCTGACAGTTCGGAGGGCTCGGACTCGGATGAAGAAGAAATCGATCCCAATGACGAATGGGCTGTGAAACGCCGCGAGCTTTTGCGGGAAGACAAAGAAAAAGAACGAAGACAAAAACCCATCGATGCTGCTCTTCGCGCCAAGATTATCTCCCCGCCCCCTGCTGGCTGTCCTAGTCTTCGGCATTTTGAGCTCCGAGAGTGCACACACCTGCGCCCGCCGCATATCCGCGCCCTCAAAATCATGTCTCCGGCTCTCGAAAAATTTCACGCAGACCTCCTCCTTTATAACGAGCCTGAGCGCGACGTTATGCGAGAAGCCTTGTTGGGCTGGGCACCGACTCTCACACAGATCTTCCTCACCCCAACCCACTTCGACGTGCCCGTCCTCATTAACGAAGAGCTCTGCGCCCACCTCACGGGGATCACCACTCTCGAAAGCAACACCCTTGTCCTCACCGCCCCATCCTTGCGACACTTCCCGCGTCTGAACAAATTGACGCTGACTGTTGTCCTCTCGTCCGAGGTCGAGCAGCTCGTGGACGTGCTGGAGAGCCTACCAAGCCTCAAGAAGCTCGATCTGTGGTCGATGAAGTATTCTCTCCATTATGGATCGAACAACAAAGATAGAGTGAACGTCTCGAAGGAGTGCGTGGAGCCGCTTCGGGAGGCTTGTGCAAAGCGCGCGATTCGGTTTTTTGCCCATATGTAAGTTGGGAATCATGACGCAGCAGTTATCGTTGCTCCCTAAATTTAGGCTCAACCTAGTCCAATGTGTTGTATTCCAAAACTGCAAAATGACAAGCGCTTCACTGCGGCTGAGGATTCCATTCGAGAAGATGCACACTCATTTTGGTATCTCCGTATTTGTAATGCTCCACCAATGTGTCGACCATCACAAACCCATTCTTCTCCAATACTTTGACACTCGCAGGATTGCCCGCGAATACCGATGTTCGCATGTGCCTCGTGTTCATCCTAGGAACACATCAGAGTGGCGTTGACAGCGGCTGACGCTAATCCACGCCCCTGGTGGCTCGGTGAAATATAATCTGGCACCAATCTGACCTGCCGCCTGCGACAACCTCCTGAAGAGAACGCACAGCTAATGTTCCACGAAATTTCGAGATCTGTGAGCGCTCGCGCACTGTTCTCTTCCACGCGGCGCCTTTTCTCTTCTACGTCGAGCACTTCCGGCCAGGTGGAACGCGCGACGCCCACATCACTTATGAACACGTCCGTCCCGTCTGCCCGGAGCTCTCGCAGGTGCCGTACCATCCACGAACTGTGCTTTCCCCCGACTCGAGCTCCTGTGTTATTATGTCCATCTCCGCTTTGAGCTTCGCGAGCCACTTCTCCGCATCGGCGATTTCGTATGGCGTCGGAAGGCTGGGGCCTAGGAATATCAGAAGGGAGTAATAATGGCGTCAAAATCAGTGTATCTTTGGATCGTGCAGGATGGCGATGCTCGGCGCGGCGTCCGAGAGTTGGGGGGGAGTGAGGGTAATGTTAGAAAAGGGAGCGGGGAGGCGAAGGTAGAGCTCCCCGGTGTCGGTGTTCAGTTCTAGAGGATCCATCCTGGTGGAACTTGGTTGAGAGAGGAGCGGTGAAGTCGCGCCACGGCCCAACTTGCCCCCCATCACAGCGCCAAGAAAATATAGAACTTAGAAGGTAAAAGACATTTTCATGCAAGCAGCTCTAACGCCACAATCTTGTGGGCCGTCTAGCTCAGTTGGTTAGAGCGTCGTGCTAATAACGCGAAGGTCTTGGGTTCGACCCCCACGATGGCCACTCTGTTTTTTTTCTTGCTGCAGCCATACTCAGTTTCTCTTTTTACCGACTATCCTCGCTTTATCATTGAATGTTAGTGCGGAGTCCTTTTCTCGCCTCCCACTATGCATCGGCGACTCAGGAAAAAGCCCACAATTGGATCCACAAGTTACAACTCCACAAACGATGCTCCTCGGGGTCACTTGGGGCCTGCCAGTGGATCATCTGATTTCTTGCATTCTAACTGAAGATTATTGCTAATCCTGCGTGCTCTGTCAGCCAGGACTTTGAAAATTCCAGTCTTCTGCGGTGCCATCGGGATCTCTGAAGCTGATTTCTTGCTTTCTAACTGTTCCTAGCGAATTCTGCATGTTTTGTCAGCCAAGACTTGAGTATTTCGCGGTGCCATCGGGATCTCTTGAAGATGTGCTCGGTCAGCCGGGACTTGAAAATATGCGCATGTCCGCAAGTCGCCGAGCAGTGGCCTCAGAATATAAAGACCCAGTCGTTCAGGATGTTCAGGTACCAGATGATGTCCGTTCCATCCATTCAACTCAACACAAGTGCAACCATCCCTGCCATCGGTTCGTTGTTCAAAGCCAAAACTGCAGCTATTTCAGTAATGGTAATCTCCACTGTCCAGGTTTGGGAGCTGCCGCAAAGGAATTCAACACCAAAGAAAAAGAGGCGACACGGGGCTGGGTTCACAGCGCGTTGCAGGTTAGTTCTGCCAGTTTACGTTTCCTTTTCATCGTTAATTGTTCTTCAGGCAGGATACCGCCATGTCGACACTGCACAAATATACGGTGAGGATGCTGACTCCTGAGAAACGGTGTGAGCCTCGTTAAATTCTAACGCATCCCGTAACTTGAAGGCACGGAACACTCTGTCGGAGCTGCGATACGCACTTCTGGAGTCCCGCGCGAAGAGGTCTTCGTGACCACGAAGCTGCCGTGCGTTCTTTCAGAAGTCTTCACATAGGTCAAATTGACCTTACCGGGTCACAGCTGGCACCATGCGAAATATGTACCGCGATCGTTCGATGAGAGTTTGAAAAATTTGGGCCTGGACTACGTCGATTTAGTGAGCTTTCCATCAACGGCGACAGGTCGACTTTCTAATTTTTGAATAGTACCTTATGCACTTTCCACAAACCCTTGAGTACACCGGTATGTTTTGTGCCGTAGTCCTGTGTGTTTCCGATATTAACCTGATTTAGTACCGGGTGCGGACCCCTACAGCACACCAACCACCGTTCAGAGCCTCCTGTGCGACATAAAGGCTGTTGACACCCCGACGTTCAACGAAAGCTGGGCGGAAATGGAAAAGATTCACGCTAGCGGGCGCGCTCGTGCGATCGGTGTCAGCAACTTCTCAGTCAAGACGTGAGTGCCTTTTGCTCTCGGGGACTAACACACCGAACCAACACCTTACCTAGGCTCGAGAAGCTGTTCGAAACTGCGAAAATCGTGCCAGCCGTAAACCAAGTCGAGTGAGTGG